AAAAAAAAAAAAAAAAAAGTGTACAAGGCATTACTATTCAACTAAATAAAACTTGTTTGGATTCCTATTTTTACAATTGGGAAACTGCATTCAAAGTCAAGGCAATTTAAGAAGTAAAATTGAAAATATTTCCATATTCTTTTTGTCTTCTCCTTTTGTAAAGATTTACAGCTTTGCGAACACTATGGGTGAGTTCTACTCTGTCCTAGAGAGACGTTATGAGTTATAATTGATGACAGTGGGTTTGGCTTGGTTCGTCAATTTTAATTTTCTCTTTCCTGTCAGTGTACCCGCTTGTTAGGAACAACTCCTCTACCAGTCCTTCTATTTTGGACTTTTATTCTGCTGTGGACAGAACGTGTGACTAAAAATGTTAATTTTTAAGAGTGGAATTTTAAAAGAACCAGGTCTTGTGAGAGACCTGCAGAGTTTTCCTCAAAGTCTATGGAGTATGTGACACCTATTGCCTACTCAGAGACTTCTGCTTATTTAGTTATTCTTGTAAGTATTGAAATACTCATTAAAGATAGGCAGTTTCCAATCATGTGAGATGTTTTCATAAGAAGATGCCGTGAAATATTTAAATCTATAAAGAGTTAATAAAGATATATAAATCAATTATGTTTATATTTTTATTTCTTTTTGTTTCTGAATCTATTCAGTTATCTTAAATGAAAGATTCACAGAATTTGGACCTGTTAAGAATCTCAGCATCTAAATTCTAGTTTTCTACATAAAAAAACTCAGGCCTAAGGAAGTCTTTCCCAAATTCTCTCAATAAATAAGAGCCTTGTTCCTTAACTTCTGGTTCAGGATGAATAGATAGCTGCCGTAAAGTTGATTGTGACTTAGGTGACCTTACATACGTCAGAAAGATGCCCTGCATGGTCCTGCAACATCCTCATGATTTCCAGCATGTTTGAGTCATTATTCTAGCTACTGTGCCAATTCATCTCTTCAAGGGTCTTCCTTGCCCTCCTGGCCCTGTATTTCACCACATATGATGTTCTCCTCCAATGACTGATTCCTCTCAATGACATGACAAAAGCAAAGGAGTCAATGTTCTGTTGTGATTCATAAGGAAAGCCTTATGAAAACATTGCATAATTTTTGTTAAGTAGGTCTTCAGCCCTTTCTTCCTAATCTGTGTTAGTCTGGAAGTTTTTTTGAAACCCAGTTACCATGGGTGACCCTGGTGGTATTTGAAATACCAGTGGCACAGATTGCAGCATCACAGCAATACACCAGCCACTACAGTATAACAGACTTACAGATGGGTGGCAGTCTGGTTCAATAATCTCTCTTTAATACTAGTAGTACTCATGTACCTAAAAGTAATGTTTTGCCTAAAATCATACTCACAGTGCAATTTACTTGGACAAAGGATTTAATGCTGCCCTTGTTCTGATTCTGGTTAAATGTATGATCTTGGACAAGGTATTGTTGTCTGTATATATACAAATGGAGATAGAATCAAATATGCCTACCTCAGCAGTTACAGTGAAGTACTTTGAGGATGAAAATAATCCTATTATTGTTTCTGTTATTTTGAAGCCAAAGTACAAGAGTGGCAGGAAACATTCCTACTTACCCAAAGGGAACTCACAATATCCAGAGATGCCCACGAAGAAAAGCCCTAGAGAAGCCAATTTATATTATACTCATCTAAACAATCTTCACTATAAAACTGTAATGGAACATGCTAATGCTCCGAGTTAACAATGGGGTACATTTATTCGACAGAGGACTCCTGAAAGAACAAAAGAGAAGAAATAAATCGAATAAAATTAGATTCAGATGGCATTTTAAGTAGAAATATAAAACACACTACCCTCCTACATTCTAAATTAAGAAATAATATGAAAACTCCATTCACTAAATACTCTGAAGTATGTGTATTAAAATTATACTTCTGCCACTTACTAGCTGTGTTACCTTCAGGTAGTAACTTAATCACTCTGTGTCTCAATTTCTTCATTTGTAAGAGCACCAAGTAGTACCTGGTACACGTAACTATAAAATAAATATTACCTGTATTTATTATTGGAGTCACTCAGTGGTATAAAAGGAGCTCTTGTAGAACAGTGAACAGTAGAACAGTGCCTAAGGCATCTGACTGCTAACCAGAAGGCTGGTGGTTCAAATTCACTAGCCGCTCCACAGAAGGAAGACCCGGGCAACCTACTTTCCTAAAGATGGAAACCCAGTGGAAGGTGCTATGAATTGGAATTGACTCGATTGGAGTGGGTTTGATTTTTTGGTTTTTGGGTGCTATAATCAATCCCTTTGGGTGTTAACTGAAAGATTAGAGATTCAAGTCTACCTAAAAGCACCTCAGAAGAACATAAATATTATTATAAGAATATTAATTATAATAATAATAATATTAACATAATATTATTTTTGATCTACTCCAAAAACAAAACAAAACAAAGAGTCATTAAAAACCCCATGGAGCATACTTCTACTCTGAAACACATGGGGTCACGATGAGCTGGAGTCCACTGGATGGCAACTGTTTTTCTCTTGTTACTACACGTGTTTCACATTATGGCTAGATAATGTCTGACTGATATTTACACTACACTGCAGAGAAAATACACTCAACATTAGTATTTATGAGCAAGTATACAGCTCTGGTGGCATTGTGCCTAAGGCATTTGACTGCTAACCAGAAGGCTGGAGGTTCAAACCCACCAGCCACTCCTCAGAAGGAAGATCGGGTAATATACTTCCATAGAGGTTGTTGTTGTTATTTGCCATCGAGTTGGCCCCGACTCATAGCGACCCCTCCTTGGGTTTCCGAGGCAGTATCACTATGAAAGTAGGAATGCCCAACCTTCCTCCCGAGGAGTGGCTGGTGGGTTTGGACCGCCAGACTTCTGGTTAGCAGTCAAGTGCCTTAGGCACTATGCTACCAGAGCTCCTTAGAGGTACCACCTCAGAAACACAAGGAGGGATTGCTGTGAGTCGGAAACAACTCGACAGCAGTGAGTTGTTTTGTGGAGTCTACAGTGGTATCCAGAGCGGTAAAAGACTTGGCTGCAAGCCCCAATCCTAATTGATTCGCCCAAAACCCACTGCCGTGGAGTCCATTCTAATTCATAGCAACCCAACAGAACAGTGTACAATTGCTCCTTTGAGTTCCCAAGGCTGTATATTTTTAAGGTAGCAGACTGCCTCATCTTTCTCTCGCGGAGCAGTTGAGCTTAATTCTGTAAACTGGTCTATGTTGTTGTTGTTATGTGCCATCGAGTCGGACCCGACCCATAGCGACCCCTCCTTGGGTTTCCGAGGCAGTATCACTACGGAAGTAGATTGCCTCATCTTCCTTCCGAGGAGTGGCTGGTGGGTTTGAACCGCCAGCCTTCTGGTTAGCAGTCAAGTGCCTTAGCCACTATGCTACCAGAGCTCCCTTTCTTGGTACTGAAACCCTAGAGTCAGAGACGCACTAGATTTCAGCACGTGGGAGAGTTGTTCAGCAGTGGACCTGGTTTTATTTAAAATTGTTCCTATCCTGAGGAGCGCCTCCTCAAACTGGTTAACGAGCCCTGACAGGCTGACGAGTCAATATTGTTCACCTGCACCTGAAACCTCAAAAGCGCTGACCTCGACTAAGGGTATCTATGGTACCTCCCACCGCACATTCCTGATTGGGCGTGTGAAAGAGGGATGTGTCAGCATGCGCTCTTACCATTCCGGGGAATTCCTTTTCCTCTGGTTCCCACCAGCCCGAGCATTTAGGGGCGGTGCTTCCCCGCAGGCGGCCCGCCCCAGCTCGAGCCTATGCCCCACAGCTTCTCGCGAGAATTTGCGGGTTTGGGGCAGGGCTTCCGTCAGGAAGAGCACACAAAACTGGCCCTAAATCATTGCAGAATAACCGCTCCTGTTAGCTGGCCAAGAGGTTCTCGCGAGATCTGCCTTATTACCAAGTGAGGAAACTGGGGGACTCTGCTGGGAGGGGCGTGGGGATCGACCGCGCAGCTGTCGCCTCCATTACCTTCCTACCATGGTCTCCTTCCGGTTCTCGATGCTTCTCTTAGTCTAAGGGTTTCCGCCGCTCCTTTACCCTCCCCCCAGCCCATGACCCGCCTCCGGCCCCCACCCTCGCAGTCCAGCCTCCGATCCATTTAGTGAGAAGGTGCTGTTCGGAAAAGAAGGAAAAGGGAGTGGACAGATACACTCGAACCTGGACGTGGGAAGTAAACCGTGCCCCTTCACCCTTAGATTCGTCGGATGCTCGCGACAGCGGCGTTGGCGGACTGATACGCGGCGGTGAAGAGGCAGGAGGAGGGGGGAGGGGCGGAGCGTGGCAGCTGGCAGTAGTTCCGTCAGAGCGGACATCTTGTGGCTGTGTTGTGCGCGTGAGCCCCGTAGGGCCGGGGAGGCACCAGCTGCCGCGCGGGAGGAGGCCGAGGCCGCAGCTTGAGGAAGGCCCCGGCCCCTCTGTACGCGTGGGTGTGGACGGCTAAGGGAAGGGAAGGGAGGCCGGCCCACTGGCCGGCGGGTAAGAGGGGCAATATGGGCCCTGGGTGGGTTGAGTGACCACTAGCCTACTGGGTGGGGTGAGTTGAGAAGGCTGGAGAAGTCGGGGCCCTTCCTGCTTTAAAGAGTAAAGGGAGTGGGCGCGTTCTCGTGCCTAAGCCGGAGCCTCGGGGGCAGCGCGGGCGCGTGGTGGCGGTGGCTAGGCGGGCGCGCGGGAGCGCGCGCTGGAAGGCGGAGTGTGCCGTGGCGTCAGGGATGACACAGAATAGCCGTAGTTGCGGGCACAGCAACCTAAACCTCTCCCTTTATTTCCTTCCCTTTGTTGGCCGCACCTTTGGGTAGGAAATGAAAGAAAGTCGGCGCCGGTCCGGAGTCTCTTGTTTTCCCCTCCCCCCTTGCCTTTCTCTGTCCTAGTGACGCCGGCATAGCGCCGACTAGGCCCCGGCTCCTCCTCTGCTGGGCTCCGGACCCTGCCCCGCACCCACCTCTTTCTCATACGCCTCTTCCTCTCCCACTGGGTCTCTTCCTTTCGAGGAGCCGGGAAGTCAGACTTGGTAGCCACCCCTCCGCTCTTCCCGTCACCCTTGCCCCCACTTCGGGCCGAAGCACAGCATAGAGCCTGTTGGTGGTTTTGCCACCCCACCCACCCCGGATCGCGACCGTTTTAAGGGACTTGGATTCATCAGGGTCTCTACGGGGCCCGTGCGAGTGCTGATCTGCTCCGTTTTTGCAAAAGGCGCCAGTGTCTGGCAGAGACGGTGTGAGACGAAGAGACAATCCTTCCCCGCCTCCCGGATAATCAAGAGTTTTGGCCGGACCTTTGAGTGCACACGGAGATAGTGCGGAGCCAGACGAAAAGCACAGACTATGGCGCTGAAACGGATTAATAAGGTAAACCGTAGGACTGAAAAGAACGGGGTTATGGGAGGAAAGGAAGGCCCAAGCCTGGAGGAAAGCGTGGGTGTGGAGTAGAATTTTGAAAATTATCTCTGGGTCACGTCTTCATTGGGAGATGCGGAACGGGGATAAACTTCACGAAAAAAAATGAAGTTTAAAGGTAGGACACAGAGCACTTGAGGCGAGTGTATTTCAACGTTATGGGTAGATGTTGGATGTGTCGGGGGGATGAAGCTGCTATTTAAAGAGGCCTTAATTTTCTGATTCATAGAGTGAGTCCCGTTTGGGGATCCAAATTGCCGAGTGTGGCTCCGGCAGATGTCATGGCGCTTCCTATTCTTGTGCTTCAGAACTTTCAGTTGAAAAATCAAGGCTCTGGGCCTTCTAGAGAAAAGATAACAAATCTGGCGGATCCCCGACTTTACCCGGGGTCAGGTTAGAAGTCTTACCAGAAAGAGTCTAGCCACAAATTCTTAATTGACTGGACAGGTTGGTTACACGGTGTTGGGAGGAGATAGGTTTGCACAGTATTGCTACTTCCTGTGTTTTTATAGTTGCGAGTTTCACCCGAAGCAATTTATCAGAGGCACACCGAGAACTGATGAAAAAGCCTTGGCAGCTCTTTTTCTTCTAGCTAGCGAAGGGATGGGGGTAGGATGGCCGAAACAGAAGGCTGGGAGTACCTGTTTTTTGTCTCAGCTCATTTAATAACACCCTAGGGGAAGATTGTTTTGTCATTGAATATGTGATTTGATAGTAAATTAATGATCTAAGTTGAAAAGAAACCAGAGTTTTTCGAGGCTGGGGCTGAGCAGAACCTCCACCTCCGCTGGTTTAGTCTCATTTTCTTGCTCTAACTTCTATCCCGCATTTTAAGATGGCGGCTGCTTTAACTGGTTCAGGCTCTTTCCGGAATCTCCTTTCATAATAGTACGAACTAATAATTTTTGTTAAATGTTAACTTTTATGTCGGGTAGTACACTACTGTAAGATCCCCCCTGTTCGAGACATCAGAATTCAAACCCTGACTGTTATTTCCCTTTTTTGTAACTTGTGTATGTGTGGTGTGTTTGGTTCTTGCACAATCAGGGTGGAGTATTTACAGCTAACTTTAAAAAAATGTCATGGGATAAATTCAAGCTTACTAGAAACGAGGAGGCAGGGGATGTTGTAGGTTAGAAACTTTGATTTTCATCTTAGAAGGTTCCTGTTTTTAAGAGTTAGACATGGAAGGAATGGCAAGAGCTTGATTTATAAAAAATAAACCTGATACTGCTTAATTTTCATTTGCTTAATAAGTGTGACTTTGGGGTTTAGTTGGCAAAACTGGTATTATGAAAGATGAAGCTTTAAATCTTCACTTTTAAGATACTGATGGTGAAATCTTGAATTTAGTTTTAGACCATCATTGCATTGTCATGGGTTTATGTAAAATTTGAATTTAAATCTTTGTGTTTCTAAGAATGGAAAAGAAGAACTTATAAATTAAGACTTAAAAGTTACAAAGAATTACTTAAATATCCTTTACTGTGACCACTTACTTCTGTTAATCAAGACTAACTTTTGAAGGCCACCAACACATTTGAAAAGGGTAGTGTTACAGTATTTTGAGGCTTAATACAAAGAACATAACATTCAGTGCAAATCAAAACCTTTTATCTATGGGAATTAGTTCAGCCAACCAAGTTGTGGAATAATTTCAGATCCATAGGTTTTTCTTCATGTGGAGCACAGAACGCTTTAAAGGAAGATTTTTTTCCTTCCTTCCTTCTACAGATGATACCCAGCTGCTGTGACACCCCTTTAATGATTTAAAAGCTGTAGAGAGGCAATATAACATAATGCCTGAGACTGAACATGGGAGCAGAAATGTTCCAGTTTGAATTCTAGCTCTACAGTTTTTCTATGTGCCTCTTTAAAATGGGTATTTGTTATACATGAACAATAAGTAGTTAAATGCCTATTTTGTACCACTGTTCTAGATGCAGCAGTGAACAGAACTTTTTAAATCCCTAGATTTTGTTTGTGGATGAGTAAGTGGGTTAATGTAGCTTTGAACAGGTGCCTGACACTCAACATTAGTAATTAATATTATTTTAATATTACTATTTTTAATCTTGAGAAGCTTTTTTATGAAAGGACTTTGGCTTCTACTATAACACTTAGTTATTACCAGATTGTTTCCTGTAACTATTTCAGAGATTTATACAATATGGAGACTTAAACATGATAACACTTTGACATTGATGAAACAAGTGTTTTTGTGGAACGTTATTCAACCTGTAGACCATTTTTGACACATGAATGTTGTTTGGTTTTTAGCTGTTTGTCAGAATTATGTGGGGAAGCTTTTTTAAAAAAAGTATATCCCAGATCCAGTCTTAGTGAGTAGATAACGCTGAAGGCAAGATCTATATTTTAGATACCCTTGTTCTAGAAATAAGGAGCTTTGGTGGCACAGTGGTTAAAATGTTTAGCTGCTGACTGAAACGTTGGCCACCAGACCCCACCAGCAGCTCTGCGGGAGAAAGATGTGGCAGTCTGCTGTAAAAATTTACGGCCTTGGAAATCTGAAGCAGTTGTACTCCTTAGGCGCTCTGGTGGCAAAGTGCTCAAGGCATTTGACTGCTAACCAGAAGGGTGGTGGTTCAAACCCACCAACCACTCTTCAGAAGGAATATTGGGCAATCTACTTCCTTAAAGATTTACTGCCTCTGAAACCCAGTGGGGGGTCGCTATGAATCAGAATTGGCTTGATGGCAGTGAGTTTGGGTTTTTTGGTTTATAGGGTCATTATAAGTTGAAATCAACTTGATGGCAGTAAGTTTAGTTCTAGAAATATGGGGTGAAATGAGGATACCAGTATTTTCCTTGTCATGTATGTATGCTATTTGAATTCATTTTTGTCTGAAGCCCCCAAATTTCAAATACTGATTTATAATTATTCCTTAAAAGTGTTCCATTGAAATGTTTGTTATTGATATACTTTTAATCTTCAATAGTTCATTTGGTGTCAGGCCTTGGAATTTGTATTTTTCTTCAGCTTATGTTCTTAATTTCTCGTTTGAATATTTCTTAAACCCAGCTGCCTTATCAAACAACCTTATCTGCCCACCGCCACCCCAGTATTCTGTATTTGGAAAGCTGTGGTGTATTCTTTATACCGCTATTGGTGAGCAAGACTAAGAAAGGGAAACTTGCCCTGATTGGTCCTATTTGGAGGCCATAGACTACTAATGGTATTTGTAACAAAGTTATATTTGTGTGTGTGTCTGTGTGTGTGATGAAAATACACATGATACAGTATATATACTTTGGAGAAGTTTGAAAAGAACTTTAGTATGTAAAAAATTGAATGGTTACCAAGCCTAAAATAATAGCTCATATTTTGAGCATAATGTATCAGAACTGTTCAAAGCACTTGTGTGAACTCATTTAGCCTTAATCCTAGCAAGTAGATATTATTATCATCCTGATTTTGAGATTACAAAATAGGGAGGCACAGGGAGGTTAAAAAACACCCAGCATTATATCATGGCTGGGCTGTGCTTAGAACCAGGCATTCTAACTCTTGAATATATGTTCTTAACTATGCTGTACTTTTGTGTCATCCTTTAGGTTTTGAGTATTCAAAATATTTTTTTGATTGTATCATTGTTTGCTGTTAATAATAGTATTTATTTATTGGGCACTTTTCAAGTGTTAACGTCATTTAATCTTTACAACAACTCTGTAAAATAACTTCTCTGAATTACATTTTTTGGATAAGGAAACAGACTCAAAGAGGTAAAGTCATTTGTCTATAGTCATGCATTTAGAAAGTGGTAAAGCTGAGATTCATATTAGTCTGCTTTAAGAGTTCAGTTCTACTCCATGCTGTATTTCTATTTTGAACCATCTCAATGCCTATTGTAGTTGAATGAATGTGATTTTAGTTCTTGCCATTACCTGAAACAAACTTTTCTTCTCTCCTGAATATTTAAATAGTTAGGATTTAACCTTAATCTTAGGTTATAGTTAATAGTTTGTAAATTAAGATTTAAGGCAATGTGTTTTGAAAGAACTGAATTTTAATTTTTCTGGTTATTCTCTTCAGAGGAGCTCTGGTTGTACAGTGTTAAGGTATTCAGCTGCTAACCAAAAGGTCATTGGCTGGGGAAGCACAGAGAGGTTAACAAACAAATTCAAGGCCTGACACCAAATGAACCCATGAGCTACGCCGCAGGAGAAAGATGAGGCAGTCTGTAAAGATCTATAGTCTTGGAAACCCTGTGGGGCAGTTCTGCTCCGTCCTATAGTGTTGCTGTGAGTCAGAATTTACTTGATGGCAGTGGCTTAACGGGGAGGGGGGGATATTCTGTTTGCTAGTGTATATAATAAATAAGAGATAACTGCAAATCAGTGTGTTGACATTTCAGAATGTTCAGAACTTTTTTTAAAAAATGTAGGTATATATGGTCGTCTTTGACTGAATAATTGTCTTTGGGAACAGGCATAATTTTCAAATGTTCCCTGCATTATTTTGAAGCCCATCCCTCTGGATAGGGGATAGGTATAGGGGGTTGTTGTTATGTTGTTGAGTGCCATCAAGTCGGCCCCGACTCATAGCGACCCCTCCTTGGGATTCTGAGGCGGTATCACTAAGGAAGTAGATTGCCCAACCTTCCTTCCGAGGAGTGGCTGGTGGGTTTGAACCGCCAGCCTTCTGGTTAGCAGTCAAGTGCCTTAGGCACTATGCTACCAGAGCTCTTGGTGTAGGGGGGGTGTTGTTGTTATTTGCCGACAAGTTGGACCAACTCATAGTGACCCCTCCTTGGGTTTCCAAGGCAGTATCACTATAGAAGTAGATTGCCCAACCTTCCTTCCAAGGAGTGGCTGGTAGGTTTGAACCGCCAGCCTTCTGGTTTGCGGTTCAAGTGCCTTAGGCACTATGCTACCAGAGCTCCTGGTATAGGGGGGTAGTCATTTAAAATTTTAATACTTTTTGAAGGCTT